AACAAAAAGAGGGTCGGTGATAGTGGGCAGCCCTGCCTCACACCCTGCCCTTGAGTGAAGAAACTGCGCTCATTGGCGCCCCTTCAGCTGGTGGCGCCCTAGGCGACCACCTAGCTCGCCTATGCCTAGAAACGGCCCTGGTCACACGCTTGAGGTATTCGGCCAATCACAATGCACTGGATAGCTGGCCAATCATAGCACACCTCGCTTTTCAGACCGATGAGCTTTGTAAAAATCGACGTGTTTCAGAAAGGCGGGGCATAGAGGAGAAACAACAATGTACATTATGTGGAAAATGATGTGTTTTTTTAACCTTAAACCGCATAAACACATTGCATTACTCCAAATACACAACAAAAAGAGGGTCGGTGATAGTGGGCAGCCCTGCCTCACACCCCGCCCTTGAGTGAAGAAACGTTTGTTTATTTCCAATTTGAATTGCGCATTGATTGTTTGAATACATTGTTTTTATAATATTGTCTGTTTTACCCCCAATACCTGATTCTAGAAGTTCTAAAACCGGATAAACCATTTTTTCAGCAGCTTTATTTTTATCTAATGAATAATATTTTTAATTTGAGATCAAACAATAATTGGCGGATCCCCGCAGCATTGCTGTGGACCCCTGAGCTGGCGATTTATGGTCAGATTTTCTGTGTGTATAGCAACAAATAATTCATCCAAACACTTCCCTGAAGTATGAAGAGTGTTCTTCCAGCACATGGCAGCATTATGACAGTTGTATCACTGAGCGACTCAAACAAACAACAGCTAATTTATTCATGTGCAGTCATTCCTCACTTTAATGCTTTAGTGAACTAAAAATGTGTGATGTTCCCGAACAGTGAAATGAGAAAGAATCACAAGAATCTGTCTCTTTCTGTTTGAATGTTAATTTCTAGTGAATACAGTCGCCTTTTTTCCTTAACCTTAATAAGAGGGTTCTGAATATAGTTGTGCATATTTCCCTTGTTAAAAGTAGTAGCCTACACTTAAGCATTAAAATGAGTACTGATTATGAAAATAAATAATATGCTTTAAAAGAATATACAAACTGAATGCACAGTAATATTTTCAGACACTTAATTGCATTTAAATTAAAATGTATTTGTTTACATCTATGTAAAATGGTGTTAGCTGAACCCACTTAAGTAGAACACTTAAGTACATTGTTATTTGTAAATTCATAATTACTTCTATTGTCTTTGAAATATGGTTAAAGTGAATGTACTGACAAGAATGTTTAGTTAACTAAAATATACTTGGTTATTTTAGTCGAAACGTGTATGGCATGTATTTAAATGTATTTGTAATTGCATATTTGTAATGTTGAAGCTGCAATTTAGTACATTTAAAATATATTAACTTTAAATGTAATATTGAATAGCACACTACAGTTAAAATTATAACCAAGTACTTTACGTGTGCTTTAGTCTGTTAGTCAATACATCAAAATAAATATACTTCTTTAAAGCATGACAAAAGATTTAGAAAATAAATAATTTAAAATGCACTTTAAAGTACAGCTTTTTATTTTACATTATTACAAAGTGGAGTTTTTAAAAGTGCAAGTTAAGAAACAATCATGAACGTTTCTCTCTTTAAGCACACTTAAAACTGGTGTTTTATTTCATTAGTATTTTATCTGCAAGCAGTTTTTAATATACTTTTAAGATTTGGAGTACACTACATGTGTACATTTTATTACAATTAAGCACACGTCTTTTTTTTACTATTGTTTGTGTATCAAAATGAATAGACAAATCAACTTTTAAAAGGGTGAAGAAAAACTTCTTACTATCTTACGTTGTTGTCAAAGGTTGCGCGTCCACCATTTTGGTGCATATTAGGTTTACATAAATCAACTCTTTCTCTCCTCCTTTTCAGACATTTGCCAAATTAAACCCCAAACTACAGCCAATGATTGACTTGATCAAGGCCAATCGTGCCAAATGGGAAGAGCTACACCACAGACACCAGCGCAGCCAGAAAACCACCAATCCTGGCAGTCCACGTAACGCAGACGCCACGGCAACCAGCTGCAGCGGCGCAGGCCCCAGCGACTCTCTCTGACCTCGCAGCAATGCAGACGGAAGGAGTTTTGACCTCTGCTGCACGCTTCAGACCAGCAGCCATTACCTCACTAGCACCCTCTATCGGGCATTTGCTCTGTCTGTGAGCACTTCAGGCAAGAAGTTTGCGAGTTTGCGTCCGTCTCCACAGTGCAAAGACTGCACGTTTAGCTAGCAACGGAGAACCTTAGGGATGTGTTTACGCCCAGAAGCTAAATGGCTGAATTAGCTACTTTAGGGCTAGCATGCTAACATAAAGACTCTATTGTGCGTGTAAGCTACTCTCAACAGGGACTGTTTAAGGAGGATTGCTGCTTTTTGAAAGGTATCATAGCATATTTTTCCCTTTGTAGCTTTGATCTTGTTGAATGAACGCATATCTTGAGCACTGGAGCTCAGTTCTGTACTCTGCGTATGTCATGTGAAGAAATTACTAATGCAGGATTTGACTCTCTGTTTTGCCTTTGTTGTTTTAGCTGATGTATTTATTCCAGGATCAGGGGTTTATGGAGCCGTGGGGCTCTTGGCAATGCTTGCAATGCAAATCCACTCCAGCGCTGTACTCTGTGCCTTGGTAAAACCCCTATGATAATGCATGCAGCCCGTCCTCAACATCACTCTACTCTCTAGTTCATACTGCATACATCATGGATGTTCCCTCATGTCTTGGGCCAGTTTCACATCACAAAGCAATGTGTTTTTATTCATTTATTCACACTTGTGTTGTTCATGACACAAGTTATTATGAAGATTTGTACTGGGGTGCGATTCCCAACATCATAGCCAACTATTGTTGCAAGTTCTGTCATTACCAACATAGTTCAACAATTTGGTGTTTCCAAAACATAGTTCCGAAGAACATTCGCAAAAAGCTTTGCAAAGGCTGCATTTACACTGGCACAAAAAAAATCTCATCTGACACAGATCGGAATTTGTTGCACACGTGTAAACACAAACGTCCACACGAGATCTGATTTTTTCGCATCCGATCTGAGCCACTTCCAAATGTGGTTTTAAATCAGATACATATCCGATATCTGGACATCCGATCTACGTCTAAACAAACATATCCGATTCCCCGCAGAACTCACAATGGGAGGGTGACACGTTTGCCCATAAAGATTGTGTTTTAATGTTGGTGTGCTGTATGCGCTCGCATTTTATTAAGATGGAAACTTTATATAGGTAAGAAATTGTACATTCAGGAGCTGGTTTTCAACCCCTGACCCGTGAATTTTATAAATACAACAGTTAAAAGCTGCATTATATTTCTCAGCAATTATGTGATAACGTAGCAGTTTTTGTAATTAAACCAACAAGCTTCACTAGTTCGCAAGCTTCACACTCGCTCTGCGTTTTCTCACTCTCTCTCTCTCTCGAATTCATTACAATAAATATTATATTGGCGCTACTTTATTTCACTAAAGAATTCTACCTCTAACGAGCTTTAGATAAAATAGCCCAACAAATGAAAATTACCGTTATTTTCCATCGTTTATCCATTCAGTCAGATTTTGTGCTGCAAAACATCCATGACAGCCATTGTCCATGCTGGCAAATAATAACATGAATTATGTCGCCATTCGGGGAAACGCACCACAGGTCTAATGCTTCTAGCTTCAAAAGGACTCAAAAGCCCTAAAAATACCATAAAAGTCATTTATACAGTTTAATAGCATGGCCATTCAAAACCCGAAGGTCTACCATGTGCATAGTAAAGCGATAACTGCAGACAATCCAATTAATTTAAACACAGATATCGGATACCAGTCGTGTCTAAAGTGAATGTAAACAGACGGGCCAAAAAAATCGGATATGTGCATTAAGACTTGCAGTGTAAATGCAGCCAGTTATCACTCCACTACCTGCTTAGTCTCAGCCTCAGAGGTCACGCCCTCGGACCGTTGGCTAAACGTCTGATGCATACGGCACACAAAAGTGGAAACACTTCAGGAGTTTTGAAGTCGTCATCGGATTGGTTGAATTCTACAGGATTTCCGGGAGACGTGTGTGTCGCGCTCTTTAACGTTCCGCCTGGAAACAAAGATGCGGTGACGCCAAACCCCCTCACGAATGAAGAAAGCCGTCGTGTTTACAACTGTGACGACGAGCGCTTATCAGGATCAACTAAACGCTGGATTTTCAAAAGTATGTGAAATGTTTAAAATTCGCGTCATGGAATCTTTAAAATACGTCCGAGAGTTTTACACACCGGTCTGTTATTGTGGCAACATTTCCACGCCCCGAAACGTGACGCTGAACGAAACGAACTGTGATTGGTTTTTTGACATGTCGGTCAAACGTCATCATGGGCGGCCTTGGCCAATGAAAGCTGCCATGGATTCCAGACCTTCAGCCGTCAGTCTGAAGGTCTGGCTACGCGAGACTACTACCTGCTTGACGTCATTAACCAACATGGTTCAAATGATGTATGTGCTGCAAACTTCCTACTTTTTTGGGAAACAGTTGTATGGTAGTTAAGCAGTGAATTATGTCTCCATTCGGGGAAACGCACCACAGGTCTAATGCTTCTAGCTTCAAAAAGGACTCAAAAGCCCTAAAAGTACCATAAAAGTCATTTATATGATTTGTGCGAAGCCATACAATAGCTTTCTTTAGGAAACGGACTGAAAGACTGAATCCACACATTCTAAGTAGTTTACCGCAATAGTTTAGGTTCCATGTAGTTTTAATTACTTATTAATTACTTTTTGAATATAAATGTGATGCCTCTCCTCATGTAAATTATATTTCCTAATGATAAAGTTTGTACTCCTGATAACCATTTCAAAAATTATTAAAGGAAATATTTGATGTAGTAGCCCAGAAATTCAGAGTTGTAGCTTTGTAACATTTATAAAAAAAATATATAACCTTCTGTCCCCTCGCATGTTTGGTTATTAAATATTTTGGCTAATTTGATCATGTTTTCAGACACTACAGAAGTGCATTACTCTCTTCAACAGATTATCCCATCAAATAAGTGTAGAAAATATCTGCAGGTTCCATTTGGGCCCATTTCTATCTTCCGATTGCTTTTGACAGCCACCTTTTCTTTTTTTTTGTTTCATGCGAGTTCTTGTGAAATTGTCAGCGTAATCTGAGACATGTATGTGCCTTTACTAAGTAAAAATACACATTTTCCATCCAGAATCTCATTGTAGGGAAACTCTCATCCTCTCTATCAGTTGGCTAAATCTAAAAAAACTTGTCAAGGTCAGCCTAAAAGGAAAAAATAAATAAAGTCACCGATATTTTGCATAAAGGATCATTTAGGACTTTAAAGGGATAGTTCACTCAAAAATGACCCCATGATTTATTCACCCTCAAGCCATCCTAGGTGTATATGACTTTCTTCTTTCAGATGAATACAATCAGAGTTATATTTTTAAAATGTCCTGGCTCTTCCAAGCTTTATAATGGCAGTGAATGGGTGTTGAGATTTTGAAGTCCAATAAAGTGCATCCATCCGTCATAAAAAGTGCTCCACGCGGCTCCGGGGGGTTAATAAAGGCCTCCTGAAATGAAGTGATGCATTTGTGTAAGAAAAATATCCATATTTAAAACTTTTTAAACCGTAATCTCTAGCTTCCGCTAACTGATGTACACGCGTTCACGAGAGACTGGTGTTCCAGTGCATGACGTAGGCGTAGCGTAAGCTGCAGTGAGAAGTGACGAACGCAGAAGCGCAGAGGAGAGAGCGAAACAAAACACTGATCATGCATTAGTAGTACAAAACGAGGATTTGTAAAGAAAAAAAGTTTCCTTTGCTGTAAACAAAACTTAGTTCTCGTGAGACTAGCATATTCTCAGCGGAGCTTACGCTACGCCTACGCCATCCGCTGGACACCACTCTCGTCGGAAAGAAGAAAGTCATATACACCTAGGATGGCTAATCTCTAGCTTCCGCTAACTGATGTACACGCGTTCACGAGAGACTGGTGTTCCAGTGCATGACGTAGGCGTAGCGTAAGCTGCAGTGAGAAGTGACGAACGCAGAAGCGCAGAGGAGAGAGCGAAACAAAACACTGATCATGCATTAGTAGTACAAAACGAGGATTTGTAAAGAAAAAAAGTTTCCTTTGCTGTAAACAAAACTTAGTTCTCGCGAGACTAGCATATTCTCAGCGGAGCTTACGCTACTTACTTTTGATTTACACCACTCTCGTCGGAAAGAAGAAAGTCATATACACCTAGGATGGCTTGAGGGTGAGTAAATCGTGGGGTTATTTTCAGTTTTGGGTGAACTATCCCTTTAAAGATTTTCTGTCCAAATTCTCAAAACCGCAATGTATCCAACGGATTTACTTTTGATTTAGTTTGTAATTCTCATTCTCTCTTAATAATGATAAATGGTTATTATCTGGTGTTTTTATTTCCAGTTTTCCTGGATGGAAATTTTGTAAAAAATATTTTTTTTTTTAGTTGCGTTCATCCATCTACTGTGATCAAACATGTACTACGATCAAATCTGCACTTCCAGGTTGAATCAAGTCAGAGGTCACAGGACGGTTGAACACGGCTCCTCTACAGAACATCTTCCTCCATTCAGGAAAACGTCTAAAGCTTTGAGGGCAGCTATTACATTCACTCAGATCAGACATTTCGTTTCTCTCCCCTGTCCCACGCTCCTTTGTTGTCCTGAAGTGGCCTCTGGTTTATTTGATACGTGACTGCACTTTGATACCTGTGCCTCCTTGTGCTAAAAGTCCACCTGCTCTTGGGAAATTAACAAAGATAAAATGTCAATTGATAAAGAGTAAAATGTAATTGCATGAAGAAGTGTCTGCTTCAGAGATGAACGGTTACCTGTAATATTTCATTATTGAGTACTTGATTTAATGTACCTGCATGGAAGCAGCTGTTGCATCGCAGTGGGGAGGAATAGTTTCATATTGTGTAACTGCATTATTCAGAATGTCTTACATTATTCCCAATGATTTCTTGGGGGGTTGGTTCTTGTTATTACCACTGTTAGATTCTTCTCTGAGGCATTATGTAAGTGATGAGGCTCTTTTGAATTGTCTTGTTCTCTTGGTTCAACTCTCCTTTTGTCTGACAGAGATTTCTTGAGAATCCTGAAGCATGATTTCTGGAAGTGTAAACTGTCCAATTCAAATAAACGTGCTGCTAGTAATAATGAGTTGGAAATTTATTGTGTGTAGTTTGAAAAATGCTGAGCGTAAACATTAGAAAAACTATGGAGCCCCAAAGGGGACATGGTGATGAAAATGTGTTCTCTCGTAAAACACGCATTCTCTCGCAAAAGCATTGCGCTCCCAGAGAAATTTTGCAGGCACTCGCAAAACATACATGTTGTCTTGCACAAAGTATTGCATTCCCTCAAGGACCTTTGCGTTGGTTTCTACGTCATTTTTTAAACACTCAGAAATTGCTAGTAAACTTCCCAATAAATTAAACCTGAATTTTTTTAAGTAGAAAGACTGGAATTGTATTTTCATGAAAATAATTCAATGATCTTTACACCTTTGAGAAAAAGTTGTGTGTGTGTGCGCTTCAAATCAAAGTTTGTAATGTTGATATTCATCTCAGAGCTGGTTGGTTGGGTTCACGACAGCCTCTCTGGTGAAAAATGGAGCCCCAAAGGGGACATGGTGATGAAAATGTGTTCTCTCGTAAAACACGCATTCTCTCGCAAAAGCATTGCGCTCCCAGAGAAATTTTGCAGGCACTCACAAAACATACATGTTGTCTTGCGCAAACAAGTATTGCATTCCCTCAAGGACCTTTGCATTGGTTTCTACGTCACTTTTTAAACACTCGGAAATTGCTAGTAAACTTCCCAATAAATTAAACGTGAATTTTTTAAGTAGAAAGACTGGAACTGTATTTTCATGTTGAAATTCAATAATCTTTACACCTTTGAGAACAT